ACCAAATCGTGAGCGTCTTCCGTGTTTGCAGGGTCATCATCTTCGTCTTCCATAGTCGCCAGTGGTTATAATCGTGGGCATCCTCGGAGCAATCGTGAACATCTTTCGCGGTTGCGAGGCCTGATTATCACCCGCGATCGCTGGTAGTCGTAAATTTTGATCACGCAATCTTTGCAGACGCTTTCGCCTATCATGAGAATACAAGTTAAACTTGGATTATTGTACCCCCTAATTCTATCAGATTGTGGGAAAATTTATTTTCCAAGAGAAAAAAAGCATTCTTTTGAGGCCGCAAGTGAGTCCCCTTCCCAGGCCGAAGCCCTCAGAAATCACAGTGTCCGCCGTTAGGGGAATACGGCCCTGATATTTGGAGACCTATGTTGGTGTGGGGCCTGGTGCGAACCGCCCCCCCCCCCTCAGTACGTCACTGAGCACATGAAATAATAATAAAAGTATGCATAAAAAGACTAAACTTGTTCAGAATACAGTTTTTTGTATTAATTTTTGTTCTGTTTTCCAGGCCTGATGACAGGGTAGAAGGCGATGGAGGCATGGTGGTTGGGGGAGAGGAGGCTGAAGAAGTGGAGACAAATCAGTTTAGATTCATTATGTTGATTAGTTTAATATTTATTTGGAATATCAGTATACTTTTATTTAATTCTTTTTCTCATTTAGATTATTAAACTAAGATCATTTTATTGTTTTTATGAAAATGTTTTCTTAAATTTTTAATATTTGTTTGTACTTCTGCCTGGTAAAAAAATACTGTTTTTTTAGTATGTTTGTTAAAATGATTACTTTCACTAACTGACCTTGTCTTGGGTGAAAAGAGATATCTTGATATTTAACTAGCAGGGTGCCTGTTCTATAGGCGGGGATCGTATAAGTCAGTTGAAACCTTCTTATATTTTGATAAGTTGTAAATTAATCATTTTCAACTTTATATAGTGTAGATCGCTTCTCCTGTATTGATGTACTGAAATGAATAAAATTATATGAAATGAAATGTTGTTAGCGAATTTCCCATTTACTGTAGTACTAATAGTAAGACCTGGACCCGGGACCGATTTAATTTTTCGTTTTGAGGGCCCTAGAGGTCAAAAACACCATCCGTTAAAATTCATATATATATATATTTATGAAAAAACAGTTCATATTTATTTATTTTGTTCATTTTTACATTTTTCATTAATTTCTCTTTGCTTGAAAACATTTGTATTAAAAGAAAATTTGCAATGTTGCATGTTTCATTTATCATAAACTCTATCAAGATCTCCTCAAGAATAATATATATTTGTATATATGTGTCTGTTAGGGTGATAACTCGAGCAAAAATGGTCCGATTTTGATGAAACTTGGTAGAAACGTGTAAACCTACATTTATTCAAACGAGTTCGCGAACAAGCATAATCGGACAATGGGAACAGGGGTTTATGGGGTAAAAATTGGTTTCACCTATTTTTTATTCTCAAAACAAAAAGTTTGCAATTTATTTTTTAACCGTTTTGTAGAGCTATGCCTAACGGTCACGGAAAAAATTCAAAAATATTTTAATTTAAAATTCCCTTGTTATTCTAATGGAGAAAATTAAAACTGTTGTAGTTTACTTGTTTTGTTTGTAGATATATGTTGATAAAATTTGGCTAATTTATTTATTTCATCTTATACTATTGACGCATGGTCAAAAAACACTTTTTACCTTCCCCGTAGCAGCAAATCTAGTAGGGTGAAAACCTAAAGGGTAGGTAAGGTGTAGGTGTTTACATATTTCCAGCATGAAGAGCCATTTTGAACAATATTTTTGAAGATTTTCAATGTTTTTTTTGTGTGTCTGATTAACATGGATATGGATATGTCACTGAAAGAGCCACCCTGGAAAATATACCACACAAACTGACCTTGTGAAAATAGGGTCAGGAAAATAAAAACCTGTCATTGTTAGTGTCAGCCCGGTTTTCTGGCTAGTCAAACTAGCCTATAACTGAATAAGTTACACTCACTTACCATGGTTGGAATATACAGGCAAATCTCAATCATTCTTAATACTTATTTTAATAGACATCTCTTGTGTTTGCATTGAACAGTGTGGCAGAACAAAAACAAATGCAAACATCTATAATGAGAATCATAATAATAATATTACTAGTGTACCTGTTGCTCGAATTCGAGCAATTGCGGAGCATTGCAGGCGACTCAAAGATTATGGAAATACTTACGATCTACACAACAGTTAGATATCAAAATCTTTTGTAAATATCTTGTCTTTTTTCAAAAAGCTGATCTTGTTTTTTTTAATGTTTTTAGTGTAAAAAAATATTTCTATTTCTTTTACCTGTATGTGTTCTATGACTTTTTCTATGTTTCCATTGTTTGCAAATCGGTTACCTATATCAATGATTGCTCAAGAAATGTAGCACAGTGTTAATTCAGTTTTATTTTTAGCCTATATCAAATTGTCCAGGATTTCTCGCTCTTTTCCGTTGTAATAATTACACCAATCCAAGTTTCGTCTACAGATGCAATAGCCAAAGAATATCACCTAGGTACGTACAATCTCCAAGAAGTGGTAAAAAAAACAGAAACCAACCCATACAATAGATATAAGTTAACTCCATAAGATTAGGATTTTCCACTGATTTGGTAATAGAACATTATATTGCAAAACATGACACGATGCAGAAGAAAATCAATTTTAAAATCAGAAAAATCCATTACAAATGCTGTACTTTATTTTGACAAATTCAATAAATCACAATTTAAATATTAACAGCTGTTGCATTAAAAATGCATATGGTCGTAATGTAAACAAATCTGAAGAGGGAACTTTAAAGGCCTCTGGGGCAGAGCCCCAAGGGAATTTACCTTGTTTCTCTTTTGATGGCTCATCTACAGACCAAGACCTTTCTTTAGAGACCCCTACCAAGTTTCTACGCCCAGCCGTTCTCTCAAATTAGCTGCGACAAAAACCCCGTTTTTCCTCCATAAGAATAACATGGGATGGGAAATTTAAGGCCACTGGGGCAGAGCCCCAAGGGAATTCACCACGTTTCTCTTTTGATGGCTCATCTACAGACCAAGACCTTTCTTTAGACACCCCTACCGATTTTCTACGCCCAGCCGTTCTCTCAAAATAGCTGTCACAAAGAAAAACAGTTTCAAATTAATATATAGATTACTAGCTGTTGTACCCGTGCTTTGCAACGGGAAGAGAACACGAAATAGAAACATTTTGATCTTTACATCGCTGTTGATAAAATAGTTACATATAAGCCTTTTAAAAACAAAATTTTACCTTTATGGCCTTAATAGGATAGCTGTTGTAATAAATGTAAAAAAATAATAGTACTGTACCCTGTTGGTAAACCTTGTAACTTTTTAATGCTATTCAATATCATAGAACCAACTTGTGAGTTGAAACAGCTGACAAAATTCTTTTATTCCTTTTAAATACGATTACTCATAAGGTTAACATGGGAAACTCCAGAGCCACTGGGGCGGAGCCCGAAAGGACTTTTAAGATGCGTCTGTATGTTAATCGGGAATGTGAGCTATCATCATACCAAATGTCAGCCCAATCCGACCAGTATTTTTCGCGTTTACTTGTCACAAACATACATCCATCCATCCATCCATACATCCAAACTTTCTCATTTATAATATTAGTAGGATTAATTCAGTAATAGAGTGTTGTATTAAGTCTGTTCTTTTTATCATGTGTTTAAATATGTTTGTTGTCAGATGTTTTTGTAAACATTAGTTTAGTTTGAAAATAGAGTTTGTTCAAGCAAGATGTGTGAATAATATTTCTTGTATAAGAAATAGAACATGGTGGCAGCTTAGTGGATTTTTATCGAACAAAGTCTAAAACCACGCATGATGTCAAGTAAGGGCAGAAAAAAACGAAATACTCGTAGGCAAAGGTATGAGGAGGATGCCCAAAGTGAATTCAACTACATGTCAGAAAGGGATTCTAGAAAGACTGAAGGTGAGTCACTAGGTTTTGCATTGGGACAGACAAACCGAGAAAATAATGCAGTAATGTGTACTCCTACTCCTATGATAAATCTGACGTTACCAACTCCAGATACCTTCTCTTTTACTCCGAATGAGTGGCATTCCTGGAGGAATCGCTTTCAAAGGTACAGACGGGGGTGCGGTCTAGATAGCACTTCCGACGCTCGGCAAATCGATGTACTTTTGTTTACAATGGGTAGTAGGAGTGAAGATATTTTCGATTCGTTTTCACCAAAACCGAATACTTATGACGAGGCTCTTCGGGCCTTTGATGCATACTTTGTGCCAAGACGAAATATCATTTTAAGAGAAAAAAATTTCTGAGACACAAGCAAGGGAGTGATCCATCTGAAAAATTCATAACAGATTTGCATGGTCTTGCAAAAACGTGTGCATGGGGTGAACTGAACGATGAGATGGTGCTTCTGGTCCTCATTATTGGTATGAAAGATGAGGCTCTAAGTGATAGACTCCAGCTGGACTCTCAATTGACTCTGGAGAAGGTGATTAATACCTTGCGCCAACACGAGGAGCTAGAACGCCAAAAACGTGAGCTCGCCAATACTAATGTTTTTATGGTGAATCAAACGTCAATACAAGTCGGTAAAACAAATCTGTCTGAAAGAGCTGGTGAACAGAAATTCACCGAGGATGCTATGAGAAAAAAGTGCAGGAAATGTGGTTATAATTGGCACGGATCACTGGCCGAATGCCCTGCTAGGAAAGCCAAATGTGACAAATGTTCCGAGATTGGACATTTTTTTCGATGTTGTCCCTCCCGCGAAAAGTGGATGAGAAAAAACAAAAACGTTGTTAAGGAAATCGAACAGCAAGATTCAGACAGTGGTTATCAACAGGTTCCTGAGATTTTCATAGGGAATATAGACAGCAGTGACAAAGCCTGGGTCTAGGAGGTAAAAGCAAGCTGTGGAAACCAAGATTTAGGTCTTATAAAATTTAAACTTGACACAGCAGCTGATGTAACCATGATTCCAGTAGGAGTTCTTGGTGATTTTATTAAGACTCTGCCTCTAGGAAAGTGCAAATCCCCTGTGTTTAGCGCAAAGAAGAAAGAACGAATCAATATTTTGGGAACTTTAAGGCTAAAGCTTGAACATAAGGGTGTATCAGTTTATGATCTTGCGTATATTTCTGAGGAGATCACTGTTCCACTTCTTAGCAGACGTTCCTGTGAAGAGCTGAACCTGGTGAGGAGAATTTTTTCTGTAGATTCACATGATATTGACTGGGCTACTAAGTATCCTAATTTATTTCAAGGGCTGGGAAATATGAAAGGAGAGTACAAGATTGAAATGAAGGAGAATGCAGTTCCTTACGCTATATCCACCCCCAGGGTTGTACCAATACCTTTAAAAACCAAGGTGAAAGAGCAGTTAGACGATATGCTTGAGAAAGGAGTGATTGTTCCAGTTGAACACGCGACTGATTGGTGCGCACCAATGGTAGTTTGCGCAAAAAAGGGAGGTGGGGTTAGGATCTGCGTAGACCTATCCAAACTCAACAACAGTGTGAAACGTCGGTTTTATCCTATCCCAAAGATCGAACTTTCATTGGCCGAGATCGCGGGAGCCAAGTACTTCAGCAAGATCGATGCGAATTCCGGGTTCTGGCAACTGAACCTTGCAGAGGAGTCACAAGATTACGGTACACAACATTTATCACCCCTTTTGGGAGGTATAAATTCCGTAAGTTACCTTTTGGAATTACGTCCGCTCCTGAAGAGTTTCAGCGCCGCATGTCAAAAGCTTTAGAAGGGGCAAAGAACTGTTTAGTGCTCATTGACGACTGTCTGATATGGGGAAGAACGAAAGAAGAACACGACGAGTGTCTTAGGGCCGTTCTAGAGAGAGTGCAAGCTAATGGAATCACCTTGAATAAGCAGAAGTCGGAGTTCTGCAAGAAGACTGTGACATTTCTGGGGTTTGTGCTGTCTAAGGACGGAATCAAGCCTGATCCAAGCAAGGTACAAGCGATTGTGGACTTACCAGCTCCAAGAAACGCTAATGAAGTACAAAGATTCATGGGCATGATCACTTTTCTGGCAAAATTTATTCCGAACCGCAGTGAGATTTTGGAGCCAATTACGAGCTTGTTAAAGACTAAAAACGATTTCTTTTGGGGACCAGCTCAAGAAAACGCTTTTGTCACAGTAAAACAGATTTTATCATCAGAGCCATGTTTGACTGTTTACGATCCGCAAAAACCCTCGATTCTTTCTTGCGATGCTTCAAAAAAAGGTCTTGGAGCGGTTTTACTTCAAGTTGAAGGAGAAAACAAGAAACCTGTGGCATATATATCTCGGACTCTAACGCCTGCTGAAGAAAACTACAGTAACATTGAGAGAGAAGCGCTTGCGTGCACATGGGCAAGTGACCGTTTGAAATGTTTCCTGATGGGTAAAATGTACACAATTGAGACCGACCACAAACCGCTTGTCTCAATTTTCAAAACACAAAATTTGGACGAGCTCTCACCGAGGCTACAGCGGTTCCGAATGCGTATGATGAGATACGATTATCGCATGACCTGGACCCCAGGAAAAGACCTTGCCATAGCAGATCTACTATCAAGAAGTCCTATTCCGGCTGACGAAGATGGCGAATTGACCGAAGAAGTGGAAGCCTTCGTCCACGAAATCAGTCTGATTAGTATAAACACTACAGATGAAAATGTGACAAAGGTACTTCACTCACAAATGAGAGATCCAATCTGTGCACAACTTAAGTTACAAATTTTAGACGAATGGCCTGTAAAATCAAGTTTACCTAATGAGATTCAAGAGTACTTTAATGTGAAATACGAGTTAAGTTGTATTGATGGGCTATTGCTTCGAGGAACTCGGATGATAATACCTCAAGAACTACGAGCGGAAATGCTCGAGAGGCTTCACAGTGGACACTTGGGAATCACAAAAACAAGGAAACGTGCTTTGGGAACCATGTGGTGGCCTGGAATTTCTCAAGAAATAGAAAGGAAAATCAAATCGTGTCCAGTGTGTATTCAGAACTCAACTAATCACAGTGAACCATTGATTCCGAGAACTGTCCCGGATTACCCGTGGCAAAATGTGTCTGTTGACTTGTTCAAACACGAAGACAAGTGGTATATGGTTATCGTGGATCACTACTCAAGATACTTTGAAGTCGAGGAAATGCATCGAATGAGGGCTTCAGATGTGATTCGGGTTTGCAAAACCACATTTTCACGTTTTGGAATTCCTCAACGTGTTTATTCAGATAGTGGGACACAATTTCACCATATTGACTCAAGTGAATTTAAATTGTTTGCAAAGGAGTGGGGGTTCTCCACATTCAGAAGTAGTCCCCACCACCATCAGGGAAATGGGGCAGCTGAAGCAGCTGTGAAAGTAGCAAAAGGGCTAATGAAGAAAAACAAGGATAAATTTGAACTTGCCCTACTTTCTTACCGGACCTCACCTCTTGAAACCGGCTTTTCCCCATCTGAACTTATGTTTGGAAGGAAATTAAGAGACAATCTTCCATCTACTTTGGTTGGAAATCCTGTGGAAAATAAGAATTTTCTTGAGAGGGAGAATAAGTACCAGAATAAGTACAAGATACAATTTGATAAACGACATGGAGCGAGTGGTTTAAGTGAATTAGAAGTTGGAAGCATGGTATGGATCACAGATCTACGTCGACACGGTAAGGTAGTCAGGAAATTGAACGAACCACGTTCCTACCTTGTGGAAACTGACAAGAGAACTATTCGCCGAAACAGGAAGTTCTTAGTTCATGCACCGTACTACGGAGGAGATGGAAATCTTTCAAACTGTTCATCCATGGTCCTTAATCGTCCATGCAACTCACGTGATCGTCCAGGAGCTGGCACAGTAACCCGTTACGGAAGGTCCATTAAGAAACCGAGGCGGTACTGAGGTTCATAAAGATGTGGACATCTTGAAGCGGGATGTTGTATTAAGTCTGTTCTTTTTATCATGTGTTTAAATATGTTTGTTGTCAGATGTTTTTGTAAACATTAGTTTAGTTTGAAAATAGAGTTTGTTCAAGCAAGATGTGTGAATAATATTTCTTGTATAAGAAATAGAACATAGAGTAAACAAACAAACAATAAATCTTCATAAATACAATTAGAGTTTTGTACATTGCTCAGAATTATATATTAAAACGTTTTTATTAGCTCGCTTTCTAGTCCTGTACAAATTTTGCAATCAATTTTATACTAAGTTCCCGAAGAGCTAGAGACTTGAAACTTGAAACATAGCTCACAAATGGATGACAATGCAATATTATATAATTTAATTTAATTTTCATATTTCCCTTGGGCTACGCCCTGCCAGATTCTTCAGTTAATACAGATTCCGAATTTATAACTTTAATTGCAGTCAACCTATTGTATGCACGGCCAGGAGGTTATTAACAACCGCGTGCACGGCTTGAGGAACTGACATATCTGCGTCGAGTCCCCCTTTGTGGTGGGGGAAGGTTGCTGAAACGGCGCGCTTTTTATCCCAAATCTCCTATCTACCCGGTGTTCCAGTTGTGTTATATAGTTCGACTAGCTGTACCCGCAGGCTTAGCCCCGTTTAACTTCTTAATTTTCAAGATGAGCTCGTTCGCATGGCTCAATCACGTCCTGGTTGAAGTTCGTTTGCTACGCTCACTCACTTTAAGGTTGGAGCTCGTTCACTGCGCTCACTTGCCTTCAGGTTAGCTCGTTCGCTACGGTAACTCGCCTCCAGGTTGAAGTTCGTTCGCTACGCTCACTCACCTTTTGGTTGCAAATTAGCTGTTGTCATTAATGTAAAAGAGATAATATAGTGCTGCACCCTGTTGGTAATCCTTGTAACTTTAATGCTATTGAACATCATAGAACAGAACCAACTTGTTTAATTGAAACAGCTGTTAAGATTCGTTAATTCCATTTAAATATGAGTACTCATAAGGTTAACATGGGAAACTCCAGAGCCACTGGGGCGGAGCCCGAGAGTCAGATCAGAATAAAAACAGCTTAGTTTTCCTATTTAATGCCTAAAGAATCAGTGTACCAAATTTCAGCCTCCTAGGTAAACGGGAAGTAAGAGAATTAGTGATGAGTGAGTGAGTGAGTCAGTCAGTCAGTGAGGGCTTTGCCTTTTATAAATATAGATGTATTTGACACATAAACAAAAACATATGATCAGCTGTTGACTTTTGAATGCAGTAGATAAAGAAATAGCTGATAGCAAATCCACAGATATTAGAACAGAAACGGTATGAATGGTAAATATAATCAAATGACGACACTAGCTTGAGGTCCGTGACGTAGGAAGTGGTGAAGGAAGTAGTAATGGTGAGCAGTCTGGAGTCTGGAAACTGTTTATGACGATTAGATTTAGGTATCTGCATTCCTAAAATTCTATGGGAAGGGAGGAAAACAGGTCCGCGATGTATAGGAAGTGGTGAAGGAAGTAGTCAAGGCGAGCTGTCCGGAGTGTGGGAACTGTTTATGACGATTATATTAAGGTATCTGCAATCCTAAAAATGCTATTGGAAGGGAAGGAAACTGGTCCGCGACGTATGAAGTGGTGAAGGAAGTAGTAAAAGCGAGCTGTTCGGGGTATGGGATCTGTTTATGACCTTTAGATTAAGGTATTTGCAATCCTAAAATGCTATGGGAAGGGAAGGAAACAGGTCCGTGACGTAGGAAGTGGTGAAGGAAGTAGTAAAGGCGAGCTGTTCGGGGTATGGGAACTGTTTATAACGATTAATTAGATTAAGGTATCTACAATCTTAAAATTCTATGGGAAGATAGGGAAACAAGTCCACAACGTAAGAAGAGGTGAAGGATTGAAGGAAGTAGTAAGGTGTGGAGTGTGGGAACTGGAAACCATTTGTAGCAGTTATATTAATGTATCTGCAATGCTGAAATGTTATGAGAAGGGATGGAAGCATGCCCACGACATAGAAAATGGCGAAAGAAGTAGTAAAGGCTAGCAGTGCAGAGTGTGGGCAATGTTTGTGGCAATTAGATTAACGTATCTAAAATCCTAAAATGCTATGGGATTGGGAAGAGAGGGAAACAGGTCCACGACGTAGGGGGTGGTGAAGGAAGTAGTAAAGAGGCGAGCAGTGTTGAATGTGGGAATGGATCAATGTATCTGCAATGCTAAAATGCTATGGGAAAGAGACTGTAGACTGTAGGTCAAAATGGTTATAAAGCACGAATCGATACATATTTCGATACATGCAATCGTTTGTAATAGAAATTTACAACTGAGTTGACAACAGCTGATTTTTACTCCATTTAGGCTAAAAACGATTTTTACTCCCTAAAGAGTAAAAATGCTACTTTAGACCAGCAAGGCATGCATTAAAAACAACTGTTTTTACTGCAGTATGACAAAAACAATATAATATGAGCCCTTGATGACTCTGCTCAATTTTGTGGATGCCTCTGCTAACGCCACCTAGTTATTATAACTAACAGTATAATTGAAGGATTGTTTGGAGAGATTTAGATTATTCCAGACAATTCACGACCGTACCGCTTGTCCCTGACCATTACGTTTATGATTTCTATAATATAAATTTCTAAAATTAAAATATCATCATATTTATTTCAATATTTTATACACAAAAGAAGCACACCTCTATAGAAACATAACGATTTTTCGGATCTCAGGTAAGTTTTTTCTAAGTTATACAAACTTAAAAAAATGTTATTGGCTTTTTTTTTATTTCTTTATTTTTTTTTAGAAAGACCAAATAAACCAAAACCTTAGTGAGCTGTTTATTGTATAATGGCCCTAAAAGTAAATGAATTTATAGCAAAAAATAGTTATAACAATAATATTGACCATTTTTAATATTCAGTTTTATGTCCAAGATGGTCATGATAAAATTTTGTGTTTTTCCATCAAAGATGCTCTATTAATGAAAAGTTACCAAAGATATTGCGCTGCCATGGCCATTTGAGTAAACTTCAAATTTTAATGAAATAAAAAAAATACCCCCGCTGCAGCAAACCTGCCGACTAAGCAAATTTCCATTTGCCTGGATTGATTTTCAATTAATCTATTAAATTAACAATCATGTTTAACGAGTACCTAGGTTAGCTGCTACAGGGAAACTAATAAAGTATGTTTTTTATATCAATAGCTTAGTTTGAAATAAATAAATTCACCAAGTTTGATCAAAATATATCCATAAACAAGCCAACTACAACATTTTACAATATTCTCCATAAAAATAACATGGGAATTTTAAATTAACAATTTTTTGAATTTTCTCCGTAACCAATCACTGTACAAAAAACACTTTGGTATACTAAATTATTTGTTTTTTTAAGCTCTTTATAAAGGTCTGGAGACAAATTGATAAATTTTGTGTTTAAAGAGTAACTTATTTTTACCCCATAAAACCCCGTTCCCATGGTCCGATCATGCTGGTACGCGAACTCATTCAAGTTTATCCGGCCTTACACCTTAAAACCGAATTTTATCAAAATCGGACAAAAATTACTCAAGTTAGTTTCCGGACGGACGCACATATATACAGGGTGTTCATTTGAAAACTTTCCATATCTGTTGTGTGCAAAGGTAAGGCTTTAAACACTTGTTTGTTCTCATTTCCCCCTAATTTGGACATCCCAAATCCAATAAAATTATTTTCAATTTCGAAAAATGCCCCAAAAGGGCCCAATTTAGGGGGTAGGGGTGCTTTTTGAGAAATTTTCAAATGTAAACATGGGTTGTGTGATACATCAATTTAAAGGTCTAATCACCCCGACTATTTCGGTGCAATAAAAATGTGATTATCTTTAACCGTATTTACAGGGTGGGTCAAAACGTTTTAAAAAAATACTTTGAGCTTAAGTACCGTATTACCCGAACTACTAATCTCAATTGCTGACTATCTCTCCAGCAGTATACAATGCCCGAGCGGAAATGCCGGAAATGCCATTGATATCAAAGGCTTGACGTGTGCCTCCCAACGGCTACAGTTGCGGTCATACCAGCAGACTGTACTTTTATGATTCAAATTGTCTAGGTCTAGGTCAATGCGGAACTTTCGCACGTTATTAAAATAATACTTGTACTGTAATAATAATTTCAAATACAAATAACAAATCAAAAATTATTTTACTTCACTTCAAACAGAGACATTGAGACATATATTAATAACGTAATTAATTATTGGTTTCCACTACAATATAAAATATTTAAAAGTCCAACTCCAACTGACAAGAAGAGTGCTATAATGTTGAAACCTGTTAATAATTGTGCATTTAAAATACAGAAATACCCCACAACATATAATTAAAGCTCCATATACAAAATTGTGTCAGAAAAAAGTTCAGGTTGGTTTTATTCGCCAAATCAATAAAACATGCAGTAACGTAATCTGTAAGCTACTACTTTCATTTAACAATTCAGGAAGTGTACTATTCCTCCTGTAGTTGCCCGATTGTACCTGGTCAGGAATTAGGTCCACCCTACGATTGCACCGACAGCCCTTTTTGGGGGTACCCGTGAATAATGTTTGTATACTTTTAATCTTTCAGTACCTATAGTATTAAAATGATCTAAAGCTGTAAAACTGATTTGTTTAATAAATAACAAACATTATCAGGTTGATTATACATTGCACGAAAAAATACATAAAACCTAAATTGCTTTTCGCCGAATACACACCAAGTCCATACCATAGATAAAACAAAAACATACTCCTAAAGGAGTATGTTGATGAGTATGTTTTATCTATGTCCATACACAAGTCTGGAAAATCTGCGTTAGTGAACTATAGGTAGCCATAGATGAAGTAATATTCAAATTAGTATATTATTCGTTCATACTATGGCTAGGTACCCGAGAATTTTCCTCATCACGATCACTAGTACGTTTGGTTGAATAAGGCCTTCAGGGAATTTTGGGTA